TGGAGACCAGAATGGTGCCAATCATCTCTATAGTCTAAGAATTCGGAAGCTACAAGCATTTCATCACTTTAGTTTCGCAGGATATAAACAGCGCTATTTGTAAATTGGGAAAGCATCTGATCACACCGATTTTGGTTTGATTAGATAATGTAAGGGCAGAGGAGATATCTAGAGTCTGATAGACCCCAGATTTCTCAAAAAAGAATATATGACAATGCCCATTGAAGTTATAGGGGTTATTTTCATTCCCTGTTATAGCATTAAAAGTGATAAAAAAAAAAAAAATGAAAGGTACAATGTAAAAATAATAAAAAAAAAAAATCAAAATATCTAAAAAAAAAAAAAAAAAAATTGCCCTTCCCATGCGCGCACACCTGTGTGCACAAGCCTTGACCCTGTGCCATTATGTAAACAGCGGTTGCACCATGCATGTGAGGTATTGCCGTGAACGTCAGATCAAGGGCAGTAATTCTAACACTAGACCTCCTCTGTAAATCTAAAATGGTAGCTTTTAAAGCGCTGCCGATGGATATTAAAAATGTTTGCAGTTTGTCGCCATTGCACGGGGCATGCGCAGTTTTAAAGCTTGTCATGTTTGGTATCTATTTACTCAGCATACCATTATCTTTTATGTTTTACCAAACAATTGGCCAATATATTGTGTTTTTGTGCATTAAAAGTAAAAAAATTGTATTTTTTTAAAAAAAATTTGCATTTGAAAAATCGTTGCGCGAGTACTATGTGCCATAAAAAATTGTAGTACCCACCATTTTATTCACTAGGGTGTCTGCTTTAAAAAATATATATGTTTGGGGGTTTAAATTAACTTCCTAGCAAAAAATTGATTTTTTTTCATGTGAACAAAAAGGCATGGTCTTCAGGTGGTTAGAACAGTGAATGATGTGTGGCATAAACTTCTAATGCTGGGCATAAAACGCCCCCACCCACCAAAATGACCCCTTTTTGGAAAGTAGTCCACCCTAACTATTTGCTGAGAGGCATGTTGAATCAATAGAAGAATTTATTTTTTTACCACAAGTTTTTGAAAATTACTAAAAAAAATATATATATATATATTATATTATATATACAATATATATATATACTGTAATATTGGGCCAAAATTATTCAACCCCCAATTGTAAAGGGGTTTTATAGTGTACATTTGGAATTGTATTCAGAATTCCTACAAGTGACGTTGTAAAAAATGGGGAACAACTGTGACATCAATTTTTATTAAATACAGTAGTAAATGGTTCTTTTGTGGTTTCTTTCATTGCCACAATTATTCAACCCTTAAAGACTACCACTCTGAAGAACAGAGGTTCATACAGGTGCTTTCCAAAATCAGGTATTGAAAAACACCTGTGGATGTCACCGAGCAGCAATCAAGCATTTTTTTGGAAAAGCACCAATTAGGCATTTTTAAATGACTGTGATACTCATGCTCCTTCTAGACATTTACTGGTGTGGTTACAAACATGGTGAAGGCAAGAGAATGGTCCAGGAAGAAAGAGAAGAGGTGATTTCTCTTCACAGGAAGGGCAATGGCTATAAGAAGATTGCAAAGATGTTAAAATACCAAGAGACAAAAGCATCATTCGCAAAATTCAAGGCAAAGGGCACTGTTTGGAACGCTACCTGGTCGTGGCAGAAAAAGATGCTGACTTCGATGTGCGCTACTAGAGTGGAGAGAAGTCCCCGTGTGAATGCTGAGGAACTGAGAAAAGATTTGTCAATGTGGGTACAGAAGTTTTCATAAGCCCAGACAATAAGACGCACAATGCGTAATGAAGGCCTCCGTGCCAGAACTCCCAGGCGTTTGCTGTCTCCAATGACTCCACGAATAAGAAGAGTCGACTGCAGTATGCCAAAAGCCATGTGGACAAACCACAAAAGTTTAGTGTTCTGTGGACTGATGAAACCAAAATTAGAACTGTTTGGGCCAAAACGCTATGTTTGGAGGAGGAAGAACAAGGCCTATGATGAAAAGAACACCTTTACTGTGAAGCATGGTGGAGGGTCAATCATGCTTTTGTTTTGCTTCTGCAACAGGGAATTCAGCGTGTGCAAACCATGAATTCTCTTCAGTACCAGGAGATATTGGATGGAAACGTGATGCAGTCCGTCACACACCTGAGGTTGGGAGACGTTGGAAAATTAAACAGGACAATGATCCCAAGCATACCTCCAAGTCCACTAAGCATGGTTTGCAAGGAAAGGCTGGAACATTTTGGGTGGCCATCGCAGTCACCAGAAATCTTAAATGCCGATGAGAACCTCTGGTGGGACTTAAAGAAAGCAGTTGCAGTGCAAGCCTAAGAATGTGACTGAACTGGAGGCCTTTGCCCATGAAGAATGGGCCTGCAAGACACTTGTGTCAAGCTATGCTTCACGTTTAAAAGCTGTTATAACCATAAAAGGATGCTGTACCTTGAATGTCACTTGGGGGTTGAATAAAACTGATAATGCTGTGAGCACAGAAAAGACATTTGTGGTTATTTCATTATAACTGTTATGTTATATTTGTCTGACCTACAAGTTTTTAATGTAAATGTAAGCAAGATGACTGAAAAAGCAATGTCAAACTGGCCAAAACACTCAATTTCAGTGGGGGTTGAATAATTTTGGCCACAACTGTATATATATATTTTTTTTTTTTACACAAAATTGACACTTAAATGATTTTCTGCTCACACATGCCATGGGTATATGTGGAATTACTCCCCAAAATACATTTTGCTACTTCTTCCGAGTATGGGGGTACCACATGTGAGAGACATTTTGGCAGTCTAGCCAAGTACAGGACCCCAAAATCCAATAAGCACCTTCAGGCTTTTAAAGGGCTTTATTTTCTCATTACACTTCCAGACTACCTATCACAGTTTCGGAGGCCCTAAAATGCCTGGATAGCACCTAACCCCCCAAATTACCCCTTTTTGGAAAGTAGACGCCCCAAGGAATTTGATAAAAAGCACGGTAAGTATTTTGCAGATCTCATTTGTTGCCACAAGTTTTTGGAAAATGAAGAAAAAAAACAAAAACATTTTTTCTATTGTGAGACCTTGTGAGAAAAAATGAAATCTGCAAAAGACTCACCATGCCTCTTTTTAAATTCCTTGGGGTGTCTACTTTCCACAAAGGGGTCATTTGGGGGGTTTTGGGGCTATCCTGGCATGTCAGGGCCTTCGAAACTGTGATAGGTAGTGAGGAAGTGTAATGAGGAAGTTACGCACCTCCTGTATGTGGCTAGGCTTCCAAAAAGTCTCACACGTGGTTTCCCCATACTCAGTAGAAGTAGCAGAATGTATTTTGGGGTGTCATTCCACATATACCCATGGCTTGTGCGAGAAATAAATAATTTAAATAACAACTTCGTGTAAAAACGAAAAAAGGTTTTGTCATTTTCCAGAAACTTGTGGAAACAAAATAAATCTTCCATGGACTCAATATGCCTCTCAGCAGATAGCCTAGGGTGTCTAATTTCCGAAAAGGGGTCATTTGAGGGTGTTTGTACTATCCTGGTATTTTAGCACCTCTAGAAATGTGATGGTCAGTCAGAAAGTAAAAGCTATGTAAATTCCATTATCTATACCATAGTTTGTAGACGCTATAACTTTCACAAAAAGCAATCAATATACAATTATTGGGATTTTTTTAACCAAAAACATGTAGCAGAATACATTTTGGCCTAAATTTATGACAAAATTTTTGGGTTTTTTTAGTTATTTTCTTATGACCAAAATGAGAAAATATTGTTTTTTTTCAAAAAATGTATTTTTTCTTCAAAACTTTTTCTGGTTATAGCGCCAAAAATAAAAAGTGCACAGGTCATCAAATACCACAAAAAGAATGCTCTATTTGTGTTAAAAAAAAAAAGACATAAATTTAATTTATGTACCGTATTGCATGACCGCGCAATTGTCCGTTAAACTAGCGCAGCGCTGTATAGCAAAAAAAGGCGTAAATTGCAGTATCTATACCATAGTTTGTAGACGCTATAACTTTCACACAAAGCAATCAATATACACTTATTGGGATTTTTTTTTTTTACCAAAAACATGGAGCAGAATACATTTTGGCCTAAATTTATAACTAACTTTGAGTTTACTATATATTTTTTATAGCTGAAAGTAAAAAATATAGTTTTTCTTAAATATTTGGCCTTTTTTTGTTTATAGCGTGAAAAATAAAAAGCGCACAGGTGATCAAATACCACCGAAAGAAAGCTCTATTTGTGTGAAAAAAAGGACGTACATTTTGTTTAGGTGCAGCATTGCATGACCGCACAATTATCAGTTGAATTAGTGCAGCGCCGAGTAGCAAAAAGAGGCCTGGTCATTAAGGGGGGTAAATCCTCAGGAGCTCAAGTGGTTAAATGCCAACACCAGTGCTTCTGTTGTATCCTCAAGAAGAAAAATGACCTAATACAGACCCTTAACATAAAGAGAGGTATGAGTTTGTCTGTGGCCAGTGAGGAGATGGTGCCATGGGGATGACAGCAGTGCTGAATTCTTGCCAGAAGTGGTAATGTCAAGCTTGTTTTTGTAGTTGTGACCACTTTTGCTATGTCAATGTGGGTCTTTTGCATAAGTGTTTTTAAAGTAGTTCTAAAATGTTGATATAAAAACAGCTCCAGTAACATCAATCATTCTAAAGTTTGCAAGTCTATTTGTTTCACTTGTAGTCACATGACTGCTATGATCCTTTTTCTGGTTCCCCTCAGGCAGGCTATGGTTAAAGATATAAAGCAGTTCTTCCATCAAAGTCCAAAGGTTCTGAGGACTGCAACTCCCTGCAGTTCTTTTAACCCTTCCACAGCTGTAGGCTATGGGGTAGAAAGCAGTTGCTGTCATTCTGTCAACCTGGATTTACGTTTTGGTATATTGGCTCTTGTACTGTACTACAACTTGTAAAGGAGGAGTCACTCTTATAACAGGTTTGGATATATCCTACGTGGTTAGGTTTTGTTAAGCATGTGGTTTCCACTTTGTTTTCAGGGGATCTACAACAGTTGATGGGGCAGGTTTTGGCATAGATCGCCCAGCAGAATTAGCAAAGACTGATGATGAATATGAAGCTTTTAGGAAAAGGATGATGCTTGCTTACCGTTTTCGACCCAATCCACTGGTAAGTCAATCTATGGAGCGACTTAAAAAGTCGTTGTATATAAAGGATAAGTTCATCTTTGGAACATGTTACACCAGTATTTAGGGTGTAACATCTAACATGTTTCAGCACCTGCCTCTCTTCACCCCTTCCACTGTGACAATGGGCAGGGGATCCTCTCCCCACAGCCGCTGTCACATGTTATAAGCGGTTTGGGTGTGTGGGGCTTTGCTGCGTCATTCATTCACAGAAATCTGTGAATGAATGAACTAAGTCCAGTGTCAATACTTGTTTATGCTGAGGGCGCTCCAGTCTGTTCACATGATTGGCTCCCAGTGATGGCTTCAGTGTAGACCAGAGACAGCCTACAGAGGCCCATAGTAAGTCTGTGGGTGACGTCACCGCATAGGCTCTTTAGCCCCTGTCGGCGATTTCTCCTATTCGCTGAGGCCGGTTGCTGGAGATATCATGTGACCAGTCCAGAGCATGCTCAAAATAGGTAAGTATAATCATTTTTCCTCTCACAGGGCTTAGAATGGGGGTGGGAGCAGAGTTCAGTATAGTTAGGATTTGACTGAACTTCTACTTTTAAGAACACCGTGGATTTTTTTTTTAGTATGGAAATAAGTAAGGATATTTTAAGAAAGGGGGCCTTTCTTTCACCCTTCTTCCTAGTGCAAGATGTATGTCTTAAGAGTTTTATTCATTGCAGCTTAACTCCAGGCAACTAGCTAGCTACACTCATAATAAATATATATATATTAGCCCTTTTACCTGCCAAAGAATATGCATTTCTGTATATCAAGTTATGAAATATAAGCAGCACAGTCATGTTGTCCATTCACTGTAACAGTTGCTGTGGGGTTAGAATATAAGATATGTAAAAGGATCAGAAATTTTGGCTCAAAATTCCATTTGTGAAAGACATGGAATAGGTTTGGCCAAGCTAGTGTGTCCGTGGCTTTATGTAGGCCTAGGGAAATTTAACATCCATTTTTTTGTCCCCTACCTTATCCCAATTAGATTGTAATAGTGATATATTTATAGCCCTATCTAATCTGGTCTGCCGCATATCAGCATATTTCTTGTCAGCACATAGGCACTATAGTACAACTGATTGGCTCATTGTGCTACTTATCCCTCTCTCTGATTGAGCTGTGCTCGTTAGGAACTGCTGGATACAGATACCAAATCAATTTCAGGTACTTGCACTGCCTATATTTGAAAAAAAAAAATACTAATGTATTAATGAATACAGAACTGCATTAATTTGTGTATTTCAAATCTGCCTGAAGCTGAGCTTTAATTGCCAAAAATGCAGTATATTATTTTAAATCATTTTCATTGTAAAATGGCTCTTTTGTTTTGTGGACTAAAATATTAATATAAATTATGTATTTGCAAAATGTGACATTTCAGACAAACTACTGATTTTTTTTATTAGCCAGAAAGCAGCATGAAACACTTGGCTTTTATCAGTTAGCCCATGAAATTGAGATCACAGTATCACAATAAAAAATGTTGATGCCACTCTAGTTTTATTCTTATCCTACAATCCCCTAGATCTTCCAACATTTTATAGGCCAAGGACCTACCAAATTAGATACAAATTAGTCTGGATTGTTTAGTAGTTCCTTGTACTACAAAGTTCTTGGTAAATCTAAATGACGTTGTATAAAAATAGTAGTGACCATGATCAGGGTGAAACTGTGTACTGATATTGATCTGTAATCAAAGCAGACTTATTTACAGAAAGTATTTGTTTATATACGATTGAGCACTTTAATGAAATGGTAGTATAAATTGTTAGATTCAGTGTTTTCTTAATACAGTGCAAAAATCCGCATTGTTTACTTATATGTTTGTTATACTTGCAGAATAACCCAAGACGTCCATATTACTGATGGACCTATGAAGACTGAAACATACGTTGAACTCATCCACATTTGAAGTGTACTGTGTCCATCTTGTTTGCGGACTGTTAGAACCTATTATGTCAAACTGTGTACAGGAAAACTTGGATCTATTCCAGAAATTGAATCCTGGATGACCACACAACTGTATCCCAGTTTACCCCTACACTGTTGATGCTTTCCCTGAAGAACCTGAATTTAATAAATATCTTTTTAACTCTGAATATTTGGCCTCCTTCTGTTTTGTGAATTAACATGGAAAATCTCCCAGTTTAGGAAAATGTGAATGAGAGTTTGGAATGGCATGTATCAGTGTTTTTTCCCGAGTCATCTTCTAGGACAGCTCACTTGAGAGATAGGGCTCCTCCCAGGAAACACCCGCTCCACCTTTTTTTCCCTTTATAGGCGTCCTCTCTCCCATTGGCCCCCAGTTTTAGTGTTTCCTCCGGCCAGGAAGGAGCTACGCCCGTTTTTTTTTATTTTTGTCTGGGCTCTCTGGCGGAGTACAGAGGGTCCCTGGCTGAGGCCCCCCCTTCCTCCAAGCGAGGCAGGGGCCTTGTGAGGGGGGGGACCTTTCAGCCAGTTTCACTCTGGAATGCCCGTTGTAGGGTGGGGGCGTCGGCCCCAGATGGTCCCAGCGGGGCTCTCCAGGGGGGTAGAGCCCGCTCAGCCGACCGAGGCATTGGTGCCTTTCCCTGCGGGGTTTTCAGGTAAGTCTTACCTGCTCCTAGGATCCCGGCAGCATGGCCAGGAGGCTCCGCTGCGGAAGGTCTGGACGCTGCGATCGCGTCACTTCCGGCGCAGGAGCAGGGAACGGCCGCCGCCATCTTGGAAATGGGCGGCGGACCGTGGAAGGAACCCGTGCCACGGCCGCTTCTCCACCAGCGGCCGTGAGAGGGGGGTCGGCGAGGGGGGATCGCAGGGGGGGGCGGAGCCCACCAGCCCCTGAAAAACCGCCGCACCGAGGCAGAGTCTGCGGCAGCATGGAGGCAGATCTGTCAGGAGCGTGGGGAGACCTGCAGTAAGGTAAGGGCCTTTGTTTGGCAACTCTCTTTTGTTTTTACCCCCCTCCCCCCCCCCTCCCGGGATGATTGGGTACCCCCCATGCACACACACAGCCCCCCTCTCCCCCCCCAGGCCCACGGCTGGAGCTTTCACAGTGGCACAGGGGGGGAGGCGTTGCTGTTACAAACGCATGAACGCGTGTATCTCCTTGTCCCCAGATGGGCCCACAGGAGGAGGATAGAGGGGAGAAAGAAGCTCCTTGTGAGCAGAAAAAGAAGTGTGCCACTTGTAAGTGTGAAGAAAAACTGGCGAGCTCCTGGAGGAAGCAGCTCTGCCAGGGGTGCATAGACAAGCTCATCAAGAAGGAGTCTGGATCTCTTTTTAAAGACTTCCTACAGAATATGACACAAGAGATGTCCAAGACATTTCAAAGCTTCAGGGAACAGAAGCCGGGACCGGCCCAGGATGAGCCCCAACCGGGCACTTCTGGCACCCAAGGGGGGAAAAAGAGGAAGCTGGACAAGGTAGCGCCGGTAAGGGACTGGGAAGAGGCCGAACAGTCGGACACCTCAGAAGTGTCGGTGGAGGGGTTAGAACCTATTATGTCAAACTGTGTACAGGAAAAGGGTGAGATTGAGGCTCAGGGCCCAAAGGCAGACAGGTTCCTTTTTCAGGTGGAAGACACGGAGGACCTGTTAAAGGTGATCTATGAGACCCTGGATCTGGAGGAGGAACAGCAGGAATGACCTCTCTCTCCACGACCAACTGTTTTCATACTCACGAAGGACAAAGAATGCTTAGAACAGTATTATGTGATTGTGGCTGCTTGGGAAAATATCAACAAACCAGTTATTCCCAGACAAATGTGAAAAAAATCTTTTAGTATAGTTGTGTGTACATTTGCTTAGTCAAAGAGGCTCTATTGTGTAGCACAATGCTGTCAGTCTGTCTTGTTTTCAGGCATTAGGGACTAGAGGGGAGGATATCTTGCAGGAGGAGGGGACACCAAATTGATCACTCCAGTGTGCTGGTCGGAGGGAAGGGACACACACACCCCTCATCACAGTACATGGGAACATGCACAGTTGTGGCTGTCAATCACAGGCTGTGTGCTGGAGCTCTTCTCCCCCTGTCACCAACTATCTCTTGAAGTTGAGAAAAGCTGTCAGATGTGACTTGTGTAGATAACAGAGGAACAGTCAGAAGAGAGAAATTTCACTTAGTGCTTTAGATAGACAAGAACACAGTGTAGAAAGATGTGCTTTGTTCATATTTAATGTCTGAGGTTTACAACCACTTTAAGGATACCATTGCTACTCTTAATGCTGCCTAATGTTAGAACAGCTTGAATGTGCTTACCCCAAGGCTTCTAGGGTCTAATGGAAACTGTCCTATATAGGGACTAGAGGGGGGTTTAACCGCTCCGTACACCGTTCACACAGTAGCATCCTGTTAAGGAAATGTTCCTGCACAAGCAGCTGGTCCCTGTAGTAGATCCTGACATTTCTTATTTCAACAAGACTCTTGAGGCCCTCATGAGGGATAATTCTATGTTCATGGGCCCAGTAGATAACGAGTTAGAGGCTCTCTTTACAGCCCTCTTTTTATTAGGAGGCCCCACTATGAAGCCTGTGGTTGCTTCTATTGTAGTCTGTAAGACCATTGCTGTCTGGACTAAGCGCATGACTTGTGTTCCTGGTTTCATTCAAAAAAATTCTCAGTCTGTCAGACCATTCTTGAATCTCAAGCCTTATGCTACTGTGTAAGGTCTTGGCAGACGCACTTTGCCAAATGTCTAGGATGGGTGTTCTTTCCATCTATATGCACTGAATCTTTTGGCTGTTCAGCTAAGCTCCCATGCAATCTCTTGAGTGTTTACTCTTTGAAGGTGAACTCAAGTGATCATTGTTCTGGTACCAAAGGAGGAATGCTAAAGACTTTAAATTTGTTCCTATGGTTTCAAACGTTATGCATGCAACTGTCATGTTAGTTATTACCCCCATCCTGCCAGGGGATTTTCTGGCTTCAATGGACATTCAAGATTGCCTACTTTACATTCTCATCTTTCCTCATCAATGCTACTTGCATTTTACAATGGGTGATCAGCATTACTAATTTGTTGGCCTTTCTACAACCCTCAGGTTTTCACCAAGGTGCTTGTCTCCATCTTGGCTATGGTCCGTGCTTAAGGGATTCATGTTGTGGGTTACCTGGGTGATCTTTTGGAGTTTATGATCGGATCTCCTATCCCTCTTAGCTTACATCCAGAGGACTGTGCAGACTTTGCAAAGCTTTGGTTGGATTCTCAACCTAAAGAAGCTATGTCTGGACTCCTCTCACAAATTAGAATACTTGGGGGTAGACATTGGACATGGCCCTGTGCAGAAGCTCTCTGGCTTAGGACAAACTTTTCTTTTTGCTTTCATGCTCAGGCCCAGGAGAAACCTGTCCTTCATCCTTTTATGAGGTTCTTGGCCTTTAATGGTTAACTCAACATTTCGGCAGTCTCTGAGACTGTCCTTTGATTTCCCCATCATTTAACCCCCAAGGACAAACTATACCTCACATGTTGGGTTTCCAACCCAGCGCTGGAATCAGGAAAGCCCTTTCCTCCAAAGATGTGCATTTACGATCCTTCAGATTTTCTCACATCTCCTCTGTGGGATCGAGATTAGAAAACCTATTTTGCTTGAGAATTTCATCCTAGAAAATACTCCATAGGACATTTTTACTACTTTCTTCAGTCTGGATCAGCATCTGGCTTTACAGTGCCTTGAAAAAGTATTCATACTCCTTGAAATTTTCCACATTTTGTCATGTGACAAGCAAAAACGTAAATGTATTTTATTGGGATTTTATGGCATTCATGATGCTGTTTGTTCATTAATGTTCTCTAACAAGCCTCTGAGGGCTTCACAAAACAGTTGTATTTATGAGATTAAATTACACACAGGTGGACTCTATTTACAAATTAGGTGACTTTTGAAGGCAATTAGTTCCACTAGATTTTAGTTAGGGGTATCCGTGTAAAGGGGACTGAATACAAATGCATGCCATATTTTTTTGAAAACAATTTTCAAAACCATTTATCATTTTACTTCCACTTCACAATTATGTGCCACTTTGTGTTGGTCTATCACATAAAATCCCAATAAAATACATTTACGTTTTTGCTTGTAACATGACAAAATGTGGAAAATTTTCAAGGGATATGAATACTTTTTCAAGTCACCTTATCACCAAAGGGCAAATCGCTGTCTTTACCATTGAGGCCTTTGTACAGGGTGTCATACACATCTTTCTCTGTACACGCCCTTTGTCTGAATAGGGCCTTAATCTTGTCATTTTGGCCTTTAGGGTCAGTTCTGTTAGGAATATTCCTTTGTCTGACCTTACTCACAAGACAGCCTTTCTTGCAGTGATCACCACTGTGCCAAAGGTCTCTGAGTTAGCAGACTTATTCTGTGAGGAGCTCTTCTTTGTGTTGCACAAGGAAAAGGTTGTCTTGAGCCCCAATCCCTCCTTAAAGTGGAGCTTTAGTCAGAAAATTAAGTCCTGCTAGATCACTTCAGACTGCCCCCTTTTGCAGGTATAGCAATGTAAAACCTTAAAAATGAGTGCCTATACAAATTAAAATCCAGTAATACACTGGATACCCCCTGTGCTGTACATGCTTAGAGGATGATCTGCTGAAAGCCTAAAGATTTACTTCTGCTTAGGACTTTGGGCTTCAGCAAAATGGCAGCCTCCGACAAGAAGAAACAAAAACAGTGCTGGAGGAGATTTACAGCACACACTAGTTTTGGTAGCATAATAAGTTATGGGTAAAGTTCTGCTTTAACCGCTTCCCGACCGTCCACCTGCAATGTACAGTGGCAGAGCGGCAGCTACAGGAAAAGCAACATACCTGTACGTCACTCTGGCTGTACTAACAAAGCGTGCAGTGCTCCTCCCTTGCGACTTCTGTGTCCAGCAGACACAGTGGA